CCCTCAATTCTACCTGAGTAATTAGATGCCACAATTTTCTCAAAGGAAATGAAAACATTTTCCCTCTTCAATTTAGAATTTACAAATTCTATGTAAAATCAAAGCACTGATGGAGCAAAGACTCTGTTCAGGTATTAATGCAGGAGAGCAATTGCAGTTTTCTGATGGCACTATATAGTTCTAGATTTTATTTTGCTTCAGAATGCCTTTTCTTAACACTAGCTCATACAGCAAAGAACTGAAGTCTACAGCAGCATTTCTTAGCCCATTTGTTGTTGGGGCACAGCATAGTTGTTAGTCACATGCTTGCAACAGAGTCAAGGGAATGGCCCCTTGTATACAGTTTCAAGATAACACTTGCCAATTTCCACCTTTACTCTCTACTGACAAAAACATATTTGCTAGGGACATAAATAAAGGCAAGTAACCTCATTTGCTACATCCATGAATCAGCTCTAATATACAAAGGATAAATCAACTACAGCCTAGATAAGATTATTGTATAATTATAATTGCAGATTTCAAAGCACTAGAAATTTGTGATCCTCCCTTTGAGAAATATCATAGCTTATAACTCGGGAACTCCTTTTCTGGAGTCTACAGGCAGGTTGACTTGGCCCCTGAGGACCAAGCAACCCTGAGTCTGCTAAGATCACTGGGATACTCCTGCCCCCACACAGGGCAGAGGTGAGCTACTTTGGCACTTGCCTTGGGCCCAACTTCTGCCTGACAACTCTAGGAACGCCTGTCCTGGGGTCTGCAAGCAGGTCTACTAGGCCCCTGAGGACCAAGCAACCCAGAGTCTGTTGACATCTTTGGGCTAGTCCCGCTCCCACCCACCTGGAGAGCAAGTGTCTCAGACCTGCGAGCCCTCACCTTGAGACCCATCAGAGTAATGGACCTTCCTGCATCCACCGGAAGAGAACCTTAGATCCATACACACAAGGAGAGGAAGAGACACCACCTGCACCCACTGGAAGAAGAGATGGGAAGACAACAATATTAGAACACATCCAACAACAGAAAAATCAATATGATGCCACCAGAGTCTAGGGTTTCTACAACAGCAAAACCTGAACATCCCAACATAGATGAAGCAGAAGAGAACAACCTTAAAAACAACTTCATAAAGATGATAGAGACCCTAAGAGAGGAAATGAGAAAATCTTCCACTGATGGGGGAGTGCCAACTCGTACATCGACTTTGGAAATCAGTTTGGCAATTCCTCAGGAAAATGGGAATCAGTCTACCACAAGATCCAGCAATTCCACTCTTAGACAAATACCTGAAAGAAGCACATTCATACAAGGACATCTGTTCAACCATCTTTATAGCAGCATTATTTGTAATAGCCAGAACCAGGAAGCAACCTAAATGCCCCTCAACTGAAGAATGGATAGAGAAAATGTGGTACATTTATACAGTGGAGAACTACTCAGCAGAAAAAAAAATGGAATCTTGAAATTCCGAGGCAAATGGATGGAACTAGAAAAAGCCACTCTGAGCAAGGTAACCCAGTCACAAAAAGACAAACATGGTATGAACTCACTCATATATGGGTTTTACACATAGAGCAAAGGATTACCAGATTACAGTCTACACCGCCAGAGAAGCTAGGAAACAAGGAGGACTCTAAGAGTGTACATGGCTCCCTGGAGAAATGGAAAGGGACAAATCTCCTGAGCAAATTGGGAGCATGCAGGGGAGGGGATAAGGAGCTAGGAGTATGAGAAGGGGAGAAGAGGAGGGGTGAGGAGGACATAAGGGAGCAGGAAGGTTTGTAGGGGGGAAAATAGAGGAGAACAAAGTAAGAGATACCAGGATAGAGGGAGCCATTATAGTTTGAGTGAAATCAGGCACTAGGGAAGTCTCCTGAGATCCACAAGGATGACACCAACTAACGATCTAAGCAACATTAGAGAGGCTACCTTAAATGCCCTCCCCTGATAATGAAATTGATGGTTAACTTACATGCCATCCTAGAGACTTCATCTAGCAGCTGATGGAAGTAGAAGCAGATACCCACAATGAAACACTGAATTGAACTGGAATCCAGTTGCAGAGAAGGAGTGATGAGCAAAAGGGTCCAGACCAGACTGGTGAAACCCACAGAAACAGCTGACCTAAACAAGTGGGAGCTCTTGGTCCTCAGATGGATCCCTGGGAAACCATCATGTAACACATCCAGACCCCATGATGACTGTAGAATACCTTTAGAGCATCATAGCTTGAAAACACTCTTAATTCATATAATGTACAGCATCATGTCAAATTGAATCAACATTCCACACTTCTCTCTCTCTCTCTCTCTCTCTCTCTCTCTCTCTCTCTCTCTCTCTCCTCTCCTCTCCTCTCTCTCTCTCAATCTGTGTGTGTGTGTGTGTGACTGTGCTTCTGTGTCTCTGTCTGTTTCATATATATCCACAAACATTTCTGAGTAATATCTCTCTTTGTTTATTACCTCTTTAAAACTTTCTATTTTAACTATACTCAATGAGGTTCAAAAGAACACTGTCAACATAGAATATACTGTTTTCCTTTTATAAGCCAAGGTTTTCACTGTAAGAGCTCTCTTGTGAAGTAGCTCTCTAATGAAAAGCATTTCCAAGGACACTCATTATAGTTAAAATTAATCTGACATGGTTTCCCTTATGCATACACTGTCCTTGAACCTCAATGACATTAGTTTAATTAATCTGACTAAGCAAATTTTTGGACATAGTGAGACATGGAACAATGAGCTAGACAAGAACACACTTTATCTGCTTCTAAGATGGATCACTATGTTCCAAGAGCTTTCAGAGATTCAGAATACAGATATATCAAGACAGAATTATTAGACATGATTAACAGGCTAAATAAAGGTTCCATATTGGTAATTGTGCACACAAATACACACATAAAGCTTAACACTGGTGTTGGCGTTTATACTTGCATCAGTATATATAGAATGTTTGTGTGGTATACATAACTATACATATATATGAATTATAGAGTATAGAGGTTGAAGTATCACAGCAAAACAAGTAGAATGTAAAGGGATTTACTACACTCCCATATATAAATTCATGTTTCTCAATCATCAGCATCTTAAGTACATTTGCTACAGTCAATGAGATTACTCTGTACTGACACCTCATTATCACCCAAAGTTCATACTTTACATTAGGGTTCACCTTGGCATTGACCTTGGTTGGTGTTGACAATAAAGTATATTTTGACAAACAGGTGATTATTAGATGACATAGAGTAGTTTCCCTGATGTAAAAGCACCAATGTCCCTTCCTTCTTATTCTCCAACTTCTAGCACTCACAGAACTCACTGTTTCCATGGTCTTGCCTTTTCTCAAATATTATGTATTTGAAACCATGAAATGCAGTTTCATGAAACTGTCTTCTTTCATTTGTAGTAGGAACTCAAGTTCTTATTTAGGGTTTTCAGTGTGTAAAAGTGAACAGTTGTGACAAAGTGAAATGAGAAATGTTACATTAAATAATTGCATGATCCCATAAGTCATATCCCATAATCAATTCATTAAATTTTCTATTTTAGAAAAATGTCCTAATTGTAAAAATTTCTTAAAATATTCATGCAAAATGCTACTCTTGGGTCTAAAGGTAAGCAAAAGTGTTTTTTACAGGAATTTCAATTTTATTTGAACACTGATAAAACTCATTTATCTCAAAAGCAGGGTGGAGATATTCTGTACTAAAATGAAGAATTTATATTAGGTTAAAACAAGAGACTTAAAAGAAATATTGAGCTAACAGAAAAGTGCCTCAAGCCCATAGCCTACCTAGACTCCCATGAGAAATGAAACTTCGTGTTCTTTCTGAATCAAAAATATTTCAGTGGAAAAAATGAGAAGAAATTCAGAGGAGGTTTAATTTTAAACAAGAAATGTGTTGGTAGTTGCCTATGCTTTAAATCAGGGTTCCCAAAAGGCCAACTCAGGAGGCATATGCCTGCTGAGAAAGTTCACTGGAGAAAGCTCCCAGGAAATTCTCCCCACAGATAAGGAAAAAAAAAAAAAAAACTTATTGTGAGAGGAACTGATTGGGGTCCAGCTGAATTGTGTTTGACAGGTGACTTGTGACAATGCTGTGGTGAGTTCTTAAATTGCATTAGCCCTTCAAGATGTCCAGCAAAGTTCTATGTCTAGGGGAGAGACACTGAAAAGTTTCTTCCTTCCACGTTCCATGTCCATTGTTCCAGCACATCGGTAATACCCTTTAAATATTTTATTGCATTTATTTTTTCTTTGCATCTCTGTGCACATGTACATGTATGAGATTATAACAAAACTTGATAGATTTGTTTCTTCCCTTCTGTCTTGTGGTTCTGTTGATCAAATTCAGATCATAAAGCTTGGCACCAAGTACCCTTATCTAATGCGCCATCTCACCAGTCCCTAGAAATGCCCTCTTTAAAGAATATAGCTTCTGAGAGTAGATAAGGCATATTCTTTTATCACATCTACAGATTTTATACAATAAATATTTCATAATTACAAGTTAATTTATTTAAATTTTGAACTGTGTAGGGGACACTGTAGCCATGCCTGCTAGCGGCTGGCTACAAGTGTGCCTGACCACACCTGCAAGGGTGTGGTCAGGGTGTTATAGGGAAGATTTAAGAGTGAGGGGCGCTCACGTGGCCTCCCCTTCTTCTGTTTCATCTTCGGCTTGCTGTACTTACTGCTGCCCTGCCATCTGGCTAGGTCACTCTGTAAGTAAGGCTTTTCCCTAATAAATTCCCTTGTATTTTTACCTGGCTTTTTATTGATAATTCACACAATAGAACTGTTATACAGTTATAAAACAGTAAGTATTCCCTGGGATGATTCAATATTGGACATAGACATAGACATTAACATAGACCTAGACCTAGACCTAGACCTAGACCTAGACCTAGACCTAGACCTAGACCTAGACACAGACACAGACATAGACATAGACATAAACAAACAGGATCAACATGCCTTGCTCTCTTTTTCAGGTCCGACCTTACCTCAGCCATCATTGTGTGAAGAAGACCAGTTTGCTTGCATCTACACAGTCCAGTGTGTCCCTGCCTCAGAGAAGTGTGATGGAAAGGAAGATTGTATAGATGGATCTGATGAAATAGATTGCTCTCCCAGGCCCTCTCCTCAGCTCTGTAGTAATGCAGAATTCCAGTGCTCTGAAAGCCAGTGTATCCCATCTCTTCTCTTATGTGATGGAGTTGCTGACTGCTACTTTAATGAAGATGAATCCAGCTGTGGTGAGTTGTTTTCACTAACTCAATGTTCCAGGAAGAAATTTTGTTTAGAAATGTAAAGCTTGACAGATGAAGTAAAGGTTTCTAGATTATCCCCATAACCATATCATCAGTAACAGCATGTATGTGTCTTATGTTGCTAAACAAACTCTGTGGCTCTTGCTGAACATTTTTGGAAAGTGTCCACTGGTGGTCACACTAATTTCTGTTAACTTTCTCTTATTTTCTCATCAATTTAACTCTAGTTCATGTTTCTGTATGTTATCTTTTTAACACATTTTTGGAAATGTATTAAAGATGGGCAGTTATAATGTATTTCTATCTGAAATATTAAGAAAGATAGCATAAATCAAGGCCTATAGACAAATAATTGATTATAACCTACACACATACACATGCATACACACACACACACACACACACACACACACACACACACACTCACACACACACATGGACTGAAAAGTACATTCATACATTTTCTATCATTGAGTGTTCCTGCTGTTTTCATATGAGTCCTCAAATGTCCCTTAGTGTTAGCTGTCCTTCCCTGTATTCCCTTCCTTACCCTGCATCTTTCCTCACCCTCCCCACTGGATCCTCCTGCTTTAGTCTCCCATTTTTTTTCTATAATTGGATATTATATTTCCTCTTCCTTGGAAGATTGTCCCTCTCCCTAATCTCATATTTAACTTCTGTGCTATCTTTATCTGCCTTCACAGGAAAAAAAATAATTTTCTCTAGTGGAGTTTCACTAGGTATATTAGCCTCATGTAAGGATATATCCAATGACAAGTAATAGATGGCTAAAAGAAAATGAACTCAATGGTATTGGTAGACTTTTTGTCTCACAGGTTTTGTTTGGCCTTTTTTTTGCCTTATTGGTCTTTGATTATCATGGTTAATATTTTGTGTTTTCATGCTTTTTCCTTTCTGGTTGTGTATATGTGTGTTTCTTGCATTTTTCTCTCTTATTTTGTAATAATTCTAATTTGTTTGCTCATTTGTTTTCTATGAAGAGAGAGAATGAAATCATATGAGGATGTGGGGAAGATCTAGGAAGAGTTGTGGGAGGAGAAACCATGGTCAGAATACATTGTATGAAAAAATATTTTAGTATAAAGTGCCTGTATTGTGTTAAATTGAAATCCAAGGAAAATATTTTAGTGTTGCCAATGTCATTTCCTCATTCATATAGCAAAGTCAATAATACTTAACCTACTAGACTAGAAAAGTTGGACCCAGGGCATATAAATCCCAAACTTTGCATTCAACATTAACCATTTTTGCTTAGTGTAGTTTATTTCAGAGTTAAGAGGGGGTGTTGAGAAATAATTGCTTATAGTTAAGGGTAATTACCCAATGATGGTGAAGTTCAAAAGCCACTAATATACTTTTATTTATTTACCTGGTTCTTTATTTTGTTTCTAAATTATATTTTTTCATTTCCATAAAATATAATAACAATCATAGTTTTTACGTGAGGAAAAGCCATTTAGGGATAGAGCCATATGAAAGAATCAAGGAATGAAGTACAAGGGGATTTAGTAATCAGTTAGGCATCTAGAAAAATGATTATTGGGAACATAGTAAAACAAATGAAAAGGTGGGAGATAACATCTGGGAATTAAAGGCTCTAGTATCACATTAGTAAAACCACTTCTCTAACCTAAACTTGAGGATTGTTTTGCCACTCTGTTATTTCCTTCTTTTTCTATCTGTGATTTTATAAAAGGTCAAGTCTTATAATATTTTGTTATTGGTGAGTAAGGAAAGATAAATGTTGTCCAATTATTTATTGCTGCTTCCATCAGAACTGTAATGTAATTTGGCTAACAGAAATAATATTATGTTCAACATAGTCATCTGATTTTTGAGTTTAAGATTAGAATGCTAGTTAAAGAGAAGCTAAGAAGAATGCTGTGTCCTTATGATTTCAAGTATTCATTGGAAACTTAGTGTTTGATTACTTCCTTATTGCTTTTCTGGAAGGGAATCCACATTAGAAGCAGAAGAATAGAATGCTACAACAAAAAGCAAGAAGTGATTAATGAACACAGTTCACCAAATATTTCAAGGCACTATATTTTCTTCCTAGGCTTTGCTATTAAGTTACAATGCCATTGTGTAAATTATAATTCAATTGTTTATTCATAGACCTTCAATAGAAGCCCCATTGATACTATATCTTGTGTAGGGCATTGTGCTGGCTAGTTTTATGTCAACTTGACACTAGCTAAAGTCATATGAGAGGAGGAAACTTCAATTTTAAAAAAAAAATCCTAAGATCAGACTGTGGGCAAGCCTGTAGGACACATTCTTACTGAGTGATTGATGGTGGGCAGTTCTATCCCTGGACTGGTGGTCCTAGGTTCTACAGTAAAGCAGGCTGAGCAAGCTATGTGGAGAAAGCCAATAAACAGCACCACTTCATAGTCTGCATCAGCTCCAGTCTCCAGATTCCTGTCCTGTTTGAATTCCTGTCTTTACAGTTTTTGATGATGAACTGTTACATGGAACTATGAGTGACATAAACCCTTTCTTCCCCAAGTTACTTCTGGTCATAGTGTTTCATTAATAGTAACCCTAGGTTAAGACAGGTTAGATGCAGATGGATATACTTGTCTCAGCATGAAGATGCATACTATACTGATAAAGAAGACTAATATGTAAGGGGTTGTAATGTGTGATAAGTTACAGAACAGGGATAAATGCATTGTGTTACAGAGCATGAGGCACTTTCTAATTGTGATGCTACGGTCCGTGCCAGGACTAAACGAAAGTGTTTGTTCACTGTGGATCAGTATTAGTCATGCTGGAGGGAGAGCGATTGGTTAGATGTCACAGTTTCAATATACAGAGATTCTTAAAATATGGTATATGATAAAGATTATGAATGATTTATGATATTATTATGTGAGGAGGAAAAGAAAGGAATTCAGAATGATTCAAGTTCCATATTTGGGATCAGGGCAGTTCATGTGCCATGGTGACAGCTGTGGAAATAGGGGAAACAAGTTTCTCTGGAAGATCATGACTTCATTTTAGAGGCTGTGTTTGTGACACCTGTGGAATATCTACATGGAAATAAATGTTCAGAATGTGTTTGGAAATGTATGCACAGAGATCAAAAGAGAAACACAAGACATAGAAGGGTTTTGATATTAGCATATGATAATTGATGCTGCAGGTACGGATAAGAAAAAATAATAAAAAATAAACTAGATAAAATCTAAAGGAACAAAAAACTCTAAAGGAACACCTGAAGCAAATAATAAATAATAAATAAAAACAAGCACTGTTTACATGAAATCAGAAGAGGTAATGTTGGAAGTAGGCATGAAAGGGCTCAACAAAAAAAAAGACTGTAGCAAGAAGAAAGGGATGTGAGGGGAACAATTAATAACAAACACATATAAAATGTTACTATAAAGCCCAAGCTGGGGGACTAAGATATGGTTCAGCAGTTAAGGGAGTGTAACACGCTTAACTGGTTCCTGGCACATACACAGGGCAGCTCACAATGGCCTCTAATTCCAGGTGCCCTCTTATGGCCAACATGTGCACCTGTATTCACAACTGCACAAAGCCACAGATGCACATAAATGTAGATGATTTAACAGAGTATTTTAAATACTCACTACTTTGTATGCTAGCTTAAAAATTGATCTAACAAAGCAAACATTGAAAGCTACTGAGAAGACATGGTTGTAGGGGATAGAAAACCATCACTTCTGTCCTCTTAAGATCCAACTGGCTCCAAGAATTAAAATTTAAAATAGGTTAGCAGAAGTAAGAAATAAGTTAGCAGAATTAAAAAGTTTTGTATGACCCAGATGATTCCATGCAAACTAAAAACAAGAAGAAGCAGTCTGGGCAGTGTTTATGTACAGGAATAAAAACAAAATGGTAAACTTTCAAGATGGAAGTTTTGTGGGAGTTTTCAAAGACCGGAGATACTGTAACAAGGTCTCTACAGTATTATTTTGCTTTCAATTTCTTGCCCTAGAAGATAATGGTGTTGCTTTTTATGGAGTGTCTTTCACATGGGACTTTTATCTAATGCTATTAAAAAGTTGAAGTGATCTCCTAACTGCTGTTTTCCAAGTGTCTTCCCTTAAAAAAAAAGTCAAGATGCAAGACAGATATAATTTAACCCCTAGAGACAAAGAAGTCAACAAAAAAACTGATGGAGCTGAAACAGAGGTTGTGGTGTCCCTGGAGAAAGCCAGTGGGAGTAAACCAAATAAGCCCTATAGTTCTGCAAACTAGTCTACTCCCTGGTACATAACTCCGAATTAATTCAATTTTGTATATTATGTGCATTAATAGAAACAGTCCACTGCACTAAAACTAATTCTGGTATTACTCCCCTCTCTAAATTCCTTATGAGTATGGCTTTCTCTAAGCTAGTGAGCTTTGGTTTAAAATGACTTCATGAGTGATTGCAGAAAAGGAAACTCTTGTTTTCAGGCTACATCATGTGTAAAACACAGTATCTATTCTTACTTATAGGTCATGGAAACCAGCAGCTTTGGGTGGTCCACTCTCTATTTTCTAGCCCTATTTTAATGCAGGTCCTTGCTGGTGTTCACACTGATCTTATCTGTGAGTCCTTTTTGAGCTTCTCTTCTGTTTGGTAGCGATCCATGTCTGGGCTGTTGGGACTATGTTAAACTATGATCTACAGCATCATTTTGCTAGAAAGTTTGCATAGTATTCCAAAGCATCAATTAGGATTGCTATCGATCTACATTTCTTTCTCACCCTGCTCCTCTGAGTTTTAAGGTTTCTAAAAAAAAAAAAAAAAAAAAAAAAAAAAAAAAAAAAAAAAATGCATCAAAGGCAATATTGGTCATTCAGGGCTTTTAAAAATGTAATTTAGTTCTACAAAAGTTTCATTTTTATCTGATTTAATTAATACAGTCATACACAGTATCTTTTGGAACACCTTAGTTAAACCTTTCTCTTGAAACTGTAAAAAAAGAATAAAGTGGGGAAAT